CGACGCCTATTGTCCTGGTGGGCATGTTTGGGCAGAGATCTCAAAACAGGATTGTAGATAAATATCTCCGGCTCAACACCAGTCAGTCAGAACGGATGAAGCCTCTTGGATGAGAGGTGAAACGTCTTCGATCTAGAAATCTAAGTCCGGTTATTTTTTCTAAGATTTTTTCAGATCACCATAAGCTGTTCAAATCACTACTCCAAATGTGCACAGCAGTGTTCACTCCCAGCAGTTTTAACCAACCATAACAGTTGAACTCAAACCAGGTCACATTAGTCATGAATGCACATTATGCTAAACCTTATTTTGTCCACTTCATTAATGTCAGAGAGGCTAGGCTAAATACCAGCCACAGCTCTGTGCAACACAGTACAGGTGAACAGCAGCACAGCCTCCACAGTGACCACACAGGTCAATCAACAGTGAAACAGTCTGAACACAAACTCAACATTATCCATGGAGGAGGATTTACTGCTGGACTGTTGGATCAAACTGACTCGGTGTGAACTAGGTGTACCTAATAAACTGACCCCTGAGTGTAGTCCAGCACAGACTGGGAACATGTTAACCATGATGGCATTAAATATGTAAACCTCACTGTGCGTTTGCTGTTCCTGTGTGATGTGTTGTAACCATCCTGTCATGTCTCGACTGCTGAGCACAAAAGAACTGTCAAAGGTGATGTGTGTGTCTGTTTCAGTGCAGAAGACCAGACGGGAGGAGGATACAAGGGAAAGACGGAAAAGGAGAGAGTGTGGGCTGGAGAGACTCATAGAGATGAAGGAAATTAAAGAAAACATGATGGAGAGGATGACGATGTGGGTAAACAGACACAGGGAGCGACTGGAGTAACGTTCCACTCACTGCAGTAAGTTTTAGTTCTTGTCTGTTTTCTCTGTGATAAACATGAGACATGAACAAGAGCCATGTCAGCCACCCTCCACCACCCCATGTAAAACTACCTACAGATGTGACTGACCTCACAGTCCAGATGTGTCTCCAGGATCATGTGAAGACGGTCAGTAGCTGTTGGCTCAGTGTGTTGGCGGCAGCAGAATCATCCAGTCGGTCAGTCGCTCTGGTTCCTGTTGGTTTGTGTCGATGGATTCGGGCTGTTTCACCATCTCTGAAGCCACAACACAAACTGTATGATGACACCTTCAGCACCTTGTCTTCTGTCACAGGACTAAACCATGAGCACTGTTCACTGGTGAGGGACTCTGGGGTTTTTATAATATATTAGGGAAGTGGAGTGAGTTTGTCTTGTCTCGTGTTAAGCTGCTGTTGTATTACTTGGACACACAAAAAAGAGAAGTTCTGATTCCAGTTTCATAGTCTAATGAAGAATTACTTTTGCTTTGTCTTTTCCTGTTCATCAGCTCTGAAACCAAACTGTACACTGACCAAAGTGATGTTGAGAATTTATTTCAGTTTGTGAACATGGTCTTTGCTAACATTTTTACATAAACTAACTCCATAAATATGAAGAACGACACGACAGTTTAATCCCTTATTACGTAGAACTGACGTTAAACACAGATTAACAGTGGAATAGATTTGGCCAGTAGATAAAAATGTCGTCCATTGTATCTGATCCATGTTTATTTTCATGAAGCTGCTGAGTCAGACTGCAGCTGTTGTTCTGATTGGGGAGAGAAACAGGAAAAAATAAAATGTGAGCCTGTTTTTCTGTGACATGTCATAAACCAGCTCCCCGTGGTCATGTGGCCTTTTACATCTTCCTTTTAAATCCACAGTGTAGCTCTGTGGTAAAAGAAATCTGTCCAAATGTAGAACTGCTGACATGTTCTTATAATGTTGTTTACATTCCTTCCCTTGCAAATATATAAGACTGCAGTGTTTATGTATAAAGCCAGGAACAATTTATTACCTGGTGGAATTCAAAAACTATAAAGTGATATTGATAGAACCCAAAACAGTCCTTTGTCTTCTAAAAGAATCCTAAAATTTGGGTATTTCATAGATTCTCTAGTCCCAAAATGTGTGTATTTGGTCAGGTTAGTGTTCAGCGTCTTACAAAAGCCCTCTAGAAGGATTTTTCTCCCTTTTCCACCTTATTTCAAGCTCAAATGAAGAACGTTATATCCAAAATCCACAGTTTTCCCACCTAACATCACCTCTGTTTGATGATTTGGTTGTGTCCTCGCCGTAACCTTCCTGCAGCCTCAGAAACCCGGCTGTGACCTCAGTGATCTGGTTTTAAACCGGGTACATTGTTGTGTAGACCTGGTACAGGCACACCGTGTCCCAGCTGTCTGGCTTTAGACTTGGCACAATGGGATGCAGTCCCTTGTAATCCGGCACATTTTGGAGTCTGCTGTCCTGGTCACACTTTGGCTTCCATTGTCCTTAACATCCCTCCATCACTGACAAAATAAAAAAGAGATGACAATCACATGGCTTACTGAACAGGTCTTTATTATCCTGAGATACAGAGATGCAACAGCTATTATCTCTGCAGGTGCAGAAAGACAATTAGCATTGAATTCAGTCATTGAAGCTGCAGGCCTGTCTTTAATTAAGGTTGAATAACGACCATAATACCACACAGACTGGGCTTTTATTTGGAGATCATTAGTACTGGTGGTGTTTGCATGCACAGTATGAATGGAACCTATAGTCAAATGAAACATGTAAAAGAGGTGATGGGTGAAACAGTCACCATATGGTGGTGAAGTGACAGTACCTGCAGTGCAAGAGAGAAAATTGTACATTGATGTCCAGTCAAATGTATTTGAAGCTAAAAGCAAGATATGGTGGTGCAGGTGAAGTGATTAGAAAACCTGTGCGTTGTCTCGGATCATAAACCGACTGGTCTTTATCCATCTATCTGCCCAAACCGGGCTAAGCTGTGCTGACAGCGCCATTCACACACACACACACACAGTGGGAGGGAGGTACCCACCAATAATGCTGTGAAACCGGTTTGTTGCTATAATCAAATGTACAGTGCCATTAAAATCAGTGGTGGGAGAAGTACTAAGACCCTTTACTGAAGGAGAAGTATCAAGTAGGCCACAAGTACAAAATTACAACAAAAAAGTAAGAGTACTCACATTCAGACTCTGAACCTGTGCCAAACTCTCAAAAAGACCTTTGGTATATATTTGATTGTTTGATGTTTGTGAAGGTGAAGCATTAACTGTGTGGTGTGTCCTGGCATTGGTGTCTGCAGTGGTTTGTATAGGCTCTGTATGGGAAGACTAAGGGTTGGGTATACTGTACAAAACTGGTATTTTTTATGTTGTATGTAGTATTTGTTGTGATCCAGTCAGTTTTGAGCTGCTGTGCTTGTAGCTCACATTATGTATTGACAGTGGTGGGCTGCTCTCTGCTGGTCAGACATATAAAAGAGTGTGAATGTCAAACATGTTGAATCTTTGTGACCTGGCTTGGGCAGCCTGGGGGTTGGAAGATCTCTGGACTTGTAATGTTAATTCTTGCCTGTGACTCTTTGAATAAACCAGCACGGTTATCTTTTTTATATACTCAAGTGGTCTGAGTCGTCCCTCGGAGTTCCTGGTTTGAAAGAACCGGACGTGGCTTTATAATAGAATAAACCCTTTACTAACAATATGTATGTTTACTTAAGTGTACTTTTAAATGCAGACGTGTTACTTGTAATCGAGTACTGTAGTTTTACGCTGTTGACTTGTAAAGATTTTGAGTACACCTCTGCTTTAACTTGCATGGCTTTAACTTTGCTAAAATGTTATCATGTATACATGTTGCAGCAGCGTCATCATGACTACAAACCTGTTTCAGAAGCAAACGTAGCAACTTTTTAGTAGGGAAGTGGTCGTGATGGTCACTAACACAAACCAGTTTTGTTTCTGTAAAACAGCTTCACCCTAAATGCAGCTGTTCACTAAAGAGGAAGAAGACGAGGATGAGGAACCAAGTCATGGAGAAAGGGGTAAAAGGAGAAAGAGGTCCATTCTCACTAATAAACAATCAGTTAACTGAAACAATAACTCCAGATCATTTCATGTCTGTTTTCACACTAATTCACAGATCTACTAAACTAATTTAATCTTCATTTGTACAAACTTACATTATAGTTTTGTTTCTTCCAATTTTGCATTATTTTGTTATGCACATTTAAATTTTTCTCATGTTTTCTATTATTGTTATTATTATTAGTGCTTCTTCCACAGTTTTGGTCTGTCTTGAATAGTAATACTTGCTGTGCTTCTGCTTCTGTTGCTACTTTAACACTATTACTCTACCCATAGTACTAATCATATTACTTCCTGTGTTACTTTCTAGACCCTGTAATCCCATACTACCAAGTCCATGGGCATAGCGAGGTGATAAGGAGGTAAATCTACAGACACCTTACAGATATTTTCATTAGCAGCCAATCTCCTGTTTATTCTTATGTCATTCATATTTCACTATAAAATGTCAGGAAATAGTGAAAAATGTCCATAAGTTGCCTAAACCCAAGGCCATGTCCTCACAGTGCTCGTTTTATCTGACCCACAGACCAAAACCCAAATACTTTCACTTCATATGTGACAAAGAAAGGGATGAACTCTCACATCTGAGAAGCTGGAACCAGTAGGCAAAGAGGGTTAAGTACATTCTGCTAATGATACTTCTGTAGTTTTGTTTCTGTGACAGTTTAGGAGCAGGAAGGAATTTTAAACAGGAAGGAAGCTAGACCAACTTGGTTCCTCCTGGTGTAGTTCTCTTTCACATTTACAACCTGTGGTTTCACGTCTTTTAGCAAACGCTGCCTTTCTGATCTGTTAAATGGTAAATGGACTGTATTTA